AGGTCTTTCTGTCTCCAAATCTCCTACTTTCCCCCAAAGAACCCACTAGACTGGTATTGTGCCATGGCCAGGTACACAGAATGACCATTGCCAGGCCTTTGCTTGGTGCCCGAGCAGGAGTTGTGGGGTCTCCCTGACTGTGGGGTTAGGTGCATCCCCAGGGGGAGAGCCTGGGGGAGGGTGGATAACCCAGGGACTACCTCCTTTTTTCACTGGAGACGATCTCTCCCGCAAAGCCCTGGCACTGGGGGCCACGTGGCTCACGCTCTCTGAAATCAGTACCTCCTTGTAGCGCTTGCTGTTCATCAGGAAGATGACCACGAGGAGCTGCAGGTAGGCTTCCACTTCAGGCAGGAGGGGCGCCGAGGCAGCTTTTCCTGTCCGGGGGCGGAACTGGAAATCCACCTCTGTGTCCATGGGCTAGGAGAGGACAGGCGCCACCGTGGGAAAGCTCAGTCACGTCAGGCAACCAAACATGTACTAAGCGCTCACTATGTACTCAACTGAATGCCTAACACAGGCCAAGACTTTCCTAGGTGCTGGGGATAGAAAATTAAAGACGACAGTCTCTTTCTAAAGGGAGTCAAGGAGGCTGGCAATACAATACACTAGAAAAGGGGGTTACAGGAGTGTAACAATTTTACAGAACGCAATGGGGACAGAAAGGATGATGCAGGACCTCCCACAGAGCCAACAATCTCGGTGGCAGGAGTAAACCACCACACCTGGAACTACTACAAATTCTATCAGTCAGGGTTTAATAAAGTGACATAATTTAAGAGATGAGATCAATAATAATGAGACAAAAAAAATTTTGTGTGTGTGTGTGTGGCAACAAAAGAAATTTTGGGGAAATGTACTTATACATGGTACTTATTTTCAGATTTAGTCACCAAAACTGGAATAATGTGAACAGATCAAAAAGTGACCATGTTGGGTGAATTTAGGGACATAAGGTTAAAAGACTTCCAGCTGGCCTGGGTGCTTTTCCCCTTTCCCTGACAATAGATTCTTCATCATTCCACTTCAAGGAATTTTCTGAGCTTTCACGTCTATGGAACAGACTGTAAGTATATAGGATTTTGGGTGGCTGAAGGTCAATGATGTTTTAGGGCAGCAGTTCTCAACCTCTGGGTTGCGACCCCTTTGGGGGTTGAACGACCCTTTCACAGGGGTCGCCTAAGACCAGGGGTC